AAATCCAAAATCAGGGTGAAACCCTTACCAGAAGTAGGCACATAGATTCCACAGAAATTAACCTTGACGGTGGCTTTCCATTGGCTGTGGGAGATTGGCTTGAATAGTGGATCCCTTCTAAGCCCACAAGTCACACCAGTGTAGGCAAGCATTTGTCCACAGACTGGCTTCTGCCTGGTCTTGGGCATATACTTCATAGCCACAGAGACAATAAAAGATCTTCAACGCAGTGACAATTGTTTATCTGTGCATAACTCTTTAGAGAGTGCTGTGACAGAACCAGAAGAAATAAAAGACTAGTCATTGTCAGAGTGAGTTTGTAGACCAGGCGGGGAAAAAGGTAGGTAAATTGTGACACAACTCTACTCAGTGGCTAGCACTTGCCACTTAGTAGGGCCCCAGCAAATGTCTGTAGAGTAAATGAATAAGTGGGTCTGTTGCCTGGTGGGTAAAACAAAGACCAGAAGGGGTGAGATGTTGCCCACACCCGTGCTGTGGAATTAGGGAGTGGTGGGTTGGGAGGAGATGGGAAGGTGGGCTGGGGTCAACCATGAGCCACCTCTTGGAGAGAGAATGTGGCGGGGTCTAGGACTGAATGGCCAGGGGAACAGGTGTGGTAATGCAAGCTCAGGTCTACAGGACTGGCCATGTTGGGCCATAGCCCGAGTGATCAGGTGAACACTGTAGGTGTGCTGGTTCCAGCCTTGTGTTCTAGTCTGAAGATGCCACAGCTCTCTCCTTGGAAAGGGCAGTGGGGTGGGGGTGGGGGAGGCTCAAGTGGGCACATTTCCCTCCTATAGGAGGGAAATGCCCTGATCCAGGTAGAAGCAATGAAGAGGAAGGCTTGAATTATAGATTCCAAATTTCTCTTCTCAGAAAGTCAAGTTCAACCTGTTTGGCCCTGGCATTCTCATTGCAGGCTCTGCTCATCAAGGAGAACAATGAAGGCTTCTGTGGAGGCACCATCCTGAATGAGTTCTACATCCTCACTGCCGCTCACTGTCTTGACCAAGCCAAGCTATTCAAGGTGAGGGTAGGTAAGTGGCACCACACCCCTCACCCCTGCAGGTCCCACTGTCATGGCCTACTTTTCAGAGACAATTAGAACTGATCCAAATTGGTGGAA